CCCTTCTCACTCCCCAGTTCCCGGTCCTTCTCCCTCTTATTTTCCCCTCCTGACCTTCTCGAGTAATCTAACGACAACCCAAACTCCAACGTGTTATAGTACTACATACTGAACATTGATTAGAAAGGTCAATAAGTCGAGCTTCTATGAGTAATTGTATTGTTGTAAAACTTAATGTACACGCTGGCTATATTCATTGTTCACATAAAAAGGACAAACTGTACTCGGGATTATTACATTTTCCTTCATCGTGCCCGACACAAATCCATATGGACATATTTCTACACCAATTAGTATTATCTGTGAATAACGACCGGTCTAAACTTGCCATGTCAGTTAAAAGAGAACCATAACATGGAATGCCTGGAAAATCATTTCTTTGTCAAGTGGTGTTTGTGGAGGTGACGCACTTTTTTCGTTGTTGTTTGTTCTGGCTGCCGTCATTTTCTTGCAACTTCCCATCCCTTGATACGGAAAGTATCAATTTGTGCAATAAACGGATGAAACAATCCCAATCCTTCCGGCTTACCCCGGTCAACTTGAGAATCTTAAAAGTGTCTTGTCTTATTTTTCTACTTCCACGGGCCTCATAATAAAATTTCAAAAGTCAAGTCTCGTTCCCATCAACTTCTCTCCGTAGAGAGCTGATGATCTTGCCTAGGTTTTTGGTTGTGCCATTGATGCTATGCCATTTACATATTTGGGTCTCCCTCTTTGAACTACTAAACTATCCATGACCGAGCTTATGCCTCTAGATGATAATACTGAAAGCAGACTTTACAGTACTACTATGCTTATGTCTGGCATGGAGTAAAGATCACCTTACTTAACTCGTTGCTCTCCTCCATGGTCACTTATGTGCCAAGTCCCATCCAGCTTCCGCCTAAGTTTGTGGACATGTTTGATAAGATCTGTAGGCATTGCTTGTGGACTAAAAGATCAGAGCAAGATGAGTCATGAAATTCGTTTGTCGCCTAGGATAGGGTATGTTGCCTAGAAAGATTCATAACTAAGTCATGAAAGTTCTGGATAAAATTTATAACCACACTGACATGCAATGGGTAAAAATCCTTTAGGAAACATATTACACCAACACTATTCCTCTTGCTTCTCCCCGGTGCGACTCTTTCTGTTCGCGTTCTGTTATCAAATTAAGGCCCATCTATAAAGGAATCTTTAATTGTCTTGTTCTAAGAGGGACGGAAGTATTGATGTGGCAGGACTAATGGAATGGAACCATTATATCTGATCAGTTTGCATGCATGTATTCTTACATTTAGGTTGAAGATATATTTGTTCATTCCTTCTATATATACTATTGAGAACCCCAGCTTGTTCTTTAATCTGCCACTATCCCTGCAAGCTTGCACTGAGTTGGAACAAGCTATAAACACCAGACCCACCCATTTACATAATGATGATTCTCTAGACTCTTGGATCTATACTTGCGGAGCAAAAACTATTGCAAAAAAATATTACAAGCGTTGTCGTGTCATGGTTAGATTGCCTCTCCAGAGCCTTTTTCGCTGGATTTGGAAAGTCCAAGCTCCAGATGAAACTTAAGGGTGTCATGTGGGTTAGCTGACAGATTAAACACAAGAAATATGCTTAGGCACCGCCACTTCGATGTAGATAATGGTTTTTCGTGTGTGCTGGTGGTGGAGAGGATCCCACTAAACACACGATTTTTTAAATGTCCATTCAGCTTGTGATGTTGGTCTAGGATGGGCATCCATTGGACTCCGAATAGCTCTCGGATTGAAGTTGTTCAAAGGGCAAGACAAAATTTCTCTGGGAGACTTTTCTATGAGATCGACACAATTTTCTGCTTGAAACATTTGGAAAGAGATAATTAACTTTATTTTCAAGCAGGCTGGGCTTTCAAGCAGAGCATGGGCACGTAGGACAAAGGCTTACCTAACTTGGCTCAAATATAGGGTTTTCTACCGATCTTAGTGATTATATCATTGTATTTGTACAATCCCTTTTAATCCTTAGAGTTTTCTCTCCTAGTTTCTTCTGACACTTTTTGTGGGGATCATTTTTCTCCTAGTCATGTACATATAAATATCTTTTATTTAATATAGCAAAGTTGATACAAAAAATCATAACAGGACAGGGGGTGGGAAGGTTCCCTTCCTCCTTCACTCTCTTCCCTTCCCAGTTCTTCTCCCCCCCTTCCTCTTTCTCTTCTCGTGCGATCTAACAATGACAAAAATCCTTTCTTGCCCTTTATTTCCCAGCATGATTTAACAATGGCAAAATCCCATGTGTTGCTTGAGTTTTATCTCTTGGATGGTCAACTACTCGGGCCTAGGTACTCCTCTAGAAGATGCTTTACTGTTAAAATGTAACCAGACTAGGACTAGAACTCACTGGCATAAAATAATCCGTTGGGAGGAAGGGAATCCTAGTCACCGCCAAGGGTTGGAGGGGGAGGGGAATACCGACTGCAAACTTGTTACTTTCCAAGCACGTCCATGTGTTCATAAAATATGATCAGACGACTATCCTCAAAAACTTTGTTTCTCACCGCTGTTCATGAGCATCTAGGCATGCACAACATGTGGAAACAAAACCGAACAAAAAGAAATATCAACATAGAGACATTTTAAGAGAAATTAATTGAAGTGAAATTAATGATAGAAAATATTAGAAGGAAAAATAGAGCAACACTGCAAGTCTCCAAACTAAAGGTATGGTTGCACACATGACTTCAGTCAACAAAGAGTTCTCCATCACATATATACACAAACAAAATTTAATTTGTAAAGATGGATTGCCCTACTCTTATATTCTTAGCAAAATGAAAGATTATAGTTTTACGTATGTCGCATTCCCAAATATTAAAGTGAGGCTTTCTCAAGAACATAGTTATCTTGACATTGTTGCACAGAAATAAAACATAGCAAGTCATAATGCTTGTCACTTAAAGAACCCTCAGTTAACATATTTATATATTTTCGTCCACGCCATGGTCATATGCTCATTTTACATTAACAGAGCTTGTGGGTTCGTAATAAATCACTTCAAGATGCATGCCCACTTCTTATGATTTTCCAACTGACACTAATCAAACTGATGATAGTCAACTACTTGCTCTGAAGGAGCTCCTTTTGGTTTTCTCTGAGTCAAGAGGGTTGCATGTGAATATCATAAATCTTTGATGGTCCCTATTAATGTTGAAGATCAGGAAGTGGCTAGGTTGGCTCTTATTTTTGGCTGTCATCTAGGCACCTTGCCTTTCGCATACCACCAGAACAAAACTAGAAGATTCCATGCATGAGCTTGATCGAATGGATAGACGGTTGACCGCTGGTTCGCTCTACTATCTCAAGTGGGGGCAGATTTCAAATTAAACTCAGCCTTAACTTCCATGCCCATTTAAATTTATGTTCCTTGATCACCCCCCTAACATTCCTAAACAAATGGGAAGGATTCAACATCAATTTCTACGGTGTAAGAATGGCAATGAGCCTGCTCAGTCCTTGGTGGCTTGGGGTACGGTTTGTAAGCCCAGAAATAAAGGTCTTGGAAATATGAATATGAAGATCCAAAATAAAGCTCTGCTGATGAAGCATGTCCGTATAAATTACTCAAAGGAGGATGAGACAAGGGTCAAACTAATTTATAGTACATATTATTATGGGGTAGTGCCTCAGTGGAATAGATTATGTGGTTCTTTCTGGTGGAAGGATATCTTCATGCTTATTGATAAATATGGATCAATTGGCAAAGTGGATGTTGAAGGAAATATGCCCTAGAGGCAATAATAAAGTTGTTATTTATATTTCCTTATATCATGATAAATGTTTATTATTCATGCTAGAATTGTATTAACTGCAAACTTGATACATGTGTGAATACATAGACAAAACAAAGTGTCCCTAGTATGCCTCTACTAGACTAGCTCGTTAATCAAAGATGGTTAAGTTTCCTGACCATTGACATGTGTTGTCATTTGCTAAACGGGATCACATCATTAGCAGAATGATGTGATGGAAAAGACCCATCCATTAGCTTAGCATAATGATCGTTAAGTTCTATTGCTATTGCTTTCTTCATGACTTATACATATTCCTTTGACTAT